TGATGGAATTGTCATGCCTCTGATTGTATCAAACTTCACTTCAATAGATCTGAGAGATGTAAAGTAAAAAGAGATTGTACCAGTGAACCTGAAGAAGTTCAGCGTCATGTTGTGGAGAGGACCCATGGCAACAGCTTTTTGGAGCTAAGAGCAGCTCCTGGTTGATAGCAAGAAAAAGGATCCCAGTGCTACAGAACCAAGGAACTAAACCCTGCCAATAACTAGTGAGCTTGGAACACATCCTCCTGCTTCAAAGGAGATTCTAACCTCATTGATGCCATCCTTTAAGCCTTATGAAACAATGAACAGAGGACTCAGGTACCTCTCATGCAGATTCCATACCTACAGAAACTATGAAATAGACAAAAGGTAATGTTTTCAATTGATAAAATTGTGGTAATATGTTACTCAGCAGGAGAATTTAGTAAAGGCAGGCGCTATTATCATCTCTAATTTTACAAAGGAAGAAATCAAAGTACTGAGACTTAAAAAAAAAAACTTCCAGTCATATTAACTGTAAATGGAGAATTTTAGTTGAAGGTATCATAGGAACTATATACCTTTGTTTTTTTTGTTTGTTTGTTTTTTGGGTTTTGTTTATTTGTTTGCCAGTTGAAATGTCTCTAGCTTTATTGCTGTTACTTTATTTTTATGGGATAACATTGATCATATTTAACCCTCATTTACCACTGCACTTTTGGTCAGCAAGGAAACCCTCTACCTTAATGTACTTATTGAAATTTTAATGTTAATCATGATAATAAAATAAACAGCTGACATTTATTGAGAACTCAGTGTGTCAGGCCATGTGCTAAGTACCTCATATATATGATCTCATTTAATCTTCAGCATTGGAGGCTGTAGCTGTCAGCATTTTACAAATGAGGAAACCAACATACAGAGGATAGGACTCAAGATCTCACAACTAATAGTGGACTGTCATCATTCTTTCTCTTAAACAAATACATGAAATATGTTCAGTTGCTTCTGAACATGTGAAGCTGTATGTCACATGGACTCTATGCTTAAGGAGCTTATGATACAGCAGGTGAAGTAAAACAATACAGAGGTACCTAGAAGGAAGAGTGAGGTGTGTGGTAAGCAGCCTGAACTTATGGACCCTTCCGGAAACTACCCCATTATTGTACATAGAACTTGAAGCATAATTTTGCCTCTTGAAATGACTCTAGCTTTATTGCTGTTACTTCTTTTTTGGGATAACATTGATCATATATGGAGATGTGATGGTCATCATTATACAAAGTACATGTATGAAGACTTGTATTGGGTGCCAACATACCTTATATACAAACAAAGATAAGAAAAACTGTGGTATATATGTGTATTAAGAATTGTAATGTAAAAAAAGGAAACTGAGAAAACAATTTTGACCTATGGACCAAGATAAGAATATCACATTATAGATGGGCATTGATGGAAACTGTGCATGCAATTTCCCTTGTACCAAATTAATTAAATGCATACTTTAAAACAGTAAGTCTCTTTTCTCACTTTCAATAGCAATTGCATTTTTCCTAGTCAAACCTAGGACAATTTCCAAAAATAAACAAATATTAATTCCAGAAAAATATTCTTACTCTCTATATATTGATATACTTTTATTAAGATTACTCAAGATAATGGATATTTGTAATTTTTGGTCACAAGAAAATATCTCCTTCTTCAACAGGAATAACTTTCTTCAATTTTTCTTTTTCTTATTGGAGCAGGGAATCCTAATCCCATACTTTCTAGTATAGAAGTCTAAAAGACTTTTGTAAGTAAATTTCTTTTTCTCTCATTTTCCTGGTACAGTGGGTTAGAGAGATGACTTACATTTGTCAGGTGAACTCATTCACTAAGATTTTAGATGGTGACTAATTGTATGTTGTGCTGATGAGACCAAGAAACTTCACTTCTTAGAGCAGCTATGCCCAGTCACGAATGTTAAGCAATTCATATATCTGAAAACTGCTGGAACTGACAGCTTTCTGCCTATTGCAAACATGATGATTTATTCTTATCTTTCATTTTGTTTACTGTACCTTATGCTAATAACTTATCTCCCTTCCTTGTGTTAGTCATATGTGATTTGGGCATCTTACAAAGATAAAACAATTTACTATACAAATTCATTTTTGTTACAGAAAGAATCTGGGATTAATTTTTCAATTAAGAGATTAGTAATGTATTACTCTTGAGGGAGAAATTATGGGTAATATGCACTTTCCTATACCTTTTCAACATGTAAAATGGATAGTTTATTAGTGCATATTATCCATTCTCAGCACCACATAAAATTAAAATAAATGTCAACTACTAAAAATAAAAAATTAAAAAAATATAAATTTTAAAAGGATCTATCCCTCATATTTCTAAATAGTTAATATTTGTGTACAAAAATATATTTCATTCTTATTGTAGACACATTTTTAAAAAGTAGAATTCCATACATATAACATGAATGATTTCACATATATAATAGTGAAAGTCATAAACCTTCTTTCTAGCCCAGTACATACTATATGGTACCATTCATGTGAAGTTGAAAATCAGACAAAAGTCATTCATGGTTGTAAGGACAATGGTAGTTACGGGAGGGACAATGACCCACAATGAATGTGTGAGGGAGGCTTCTGGGATACCTGAGTCGTCCATATCTTGATTATGTGGGGTAAGTAAAAAGTTCATCAAGCTCTATGGTAAGAGTTACATGCTTTATTATATTCCCCAGGACATAATATAATATTATTATATTCCTCAGGACTATATAATTTAAAAGAATGTTTTTATAATAAACATTAAAATATAAAAGTGAAATGAGATAGTCCTTAAAACATAAACATAATAAATAATGTAAATTTCACATTCTGTTACATATTATGACACATTCTATTTTGCTGTTATGAACAAGTCAAGAATATTGGAGGGACTAGGATTGTGGCTCAGTGACAGAGCGCTTATCTTGCAAGTATGAGGCACTGGGTTCGATCCTCAGCACCATATACAAATAAATAAATAAACAAAGGTATTGTGTTCGTCTACAAAT